AGCTTTAATTAATAAATTTTCATATAAAATTGATGTAATAAATCTTCGCGAAAAAATTATTTAATATTTATTTCACCTCCTATACGTATCTCTTAAAAAAAACCTATAAAAAAAATTTTTAATTCAATATACTAATGTATTACATTTATTAATAAATTTATTAAAATAAATTATAAATGTAAATTTTATAATAAAACAATTATACTGTAAATTTATTATTAAATCCTAATATTAATTAACATATTTTATCATTATAATTATTCATCGCTACTGTTATCATTATAATTATCATCACAATAATCATCATCAATATCTTCATTTTCATTATCTAATGAATCTGTTATATTATAGCTTACAAAAGAATTGATAATTCATCAGATATCTTGTCCCATGAATGTTTTACCCAATTACAAACATCACTATATTTAGCATGTTTAAGATTTTCAGCAGCAGTTTTTCCAGCACCACCATCTGCCATCCATAAATGCCATTCTTTGCGAAGGTTGTCCTTGAATGGTTTGTTAATACCAACATCAAGTGATTGACAAATACTGGTCAAACCACCCAGAATAACCGCCAAGTTGACATTACTATCATAAAACTTTTTTTTAATAGATTCTTCAAAATGTCTTCTGAATTAATCATAAATAAGCATAGTTGGATTTTTAGATCGATTATTATTAAAATAATCAATATATTTTATCATCAATTCAGTATTCATCCAACCATTTTCTGATGGAATTTGTTCATTGCGTCCTATTCTTTTTTCTTTAAAAATACATATAAACGGTAGTTTAGCTCTATCTATATAAATAAAAAAGCATTAAAATAGTTTTATAAATAATTTTAATTTAAAATATAATTTATTTAATGTTCTTACCAGCAACACAGGTTAAAACAATGGTAAAACGATTTTTTCATTACCTGTCTCTCAAATATAAACAGTTTTTTACCAATCAGATTAACACTAAATTACCGGTCATATTAAACTATACTGGGGTCTCATCCATATTAAAAATATAGTACATTTTATAATTGTATGTATAAACATTAGCATAGAAAAAAAATTGTCATGTATTATGGGCTACGTCCTGAACCTTTGTATTTATTTTTAGTATATATTAATAAAAATTTTCTTAGCAAATATCAGTGATGGCCTGTCGCTCAAAAATATGTAATATATTTTTTATTTAGATTATTAAGCATGCTGAGCAGTGTATAAAATTTATGTACATATATAATTTTTTAAGATTTTATACATTGATACTGATTCTAAGACTATGTATTAACGAGTTTATGCTGAGCTCTGTGAAATTTAGGTTATTGATAAACTGTAACAAAATATCATAATTATCCTACTATCTGAAAAAAAGATAAAGTTTTGCATAGTCACAATTAATAAAATTTTTACACGTAACACTGATGAGAAAATACCTTAAGAAAAAAAGTGTTTAAATGAATACTTTTGAAACGTTAATTTTTAATTAGCTAACACTCAGATTTCTTGATCATGAAGATACTTCACAGTTATACTTATAATCTATAATATGATAATGCGACAACGAACACGTTCAAAAATATGAGCTAAATTTCTATTTATTTTCCCTAATGAATAAACTATTTAAAAATACTCCATCAGTTCATTAATTCAAATTAATGTTAGATGATATTATGTATCACAAGAACAAGTAATTACATGCAATTTATTCTCAAACTTTCCTACATATATTGCATATACTCAAACTTACGTGTATTAAAATATAATGATAATAGGATAACGTCAAATTATTCTATGATCAGATTTTTGTGATGCAGATTTACATTAAAGATTAATTCAAATTGATCCTTATTTACTAATATTTCTTTGAAATTTATAATAGATCTGAAATTACTTCATCTCTTGCGTTAATATAATTTTTGAAATAGAAACAGAATATAGATGTAATATATTTCAGAAATTTCAAAAGCGCAGTAGTATAGGCAAAAAAATAGCATTAAGCAGTATGAGAACTTTCATTTTATAGATTAGAGTCTGAGATATTTTTCTTTTAAACGTTTACTACTCAAATTTTACTTTATTAGTATTAGTTGTTGCTAATTTTTTACATTAATTTACAAGAAAAAATGAAGTTTTGCTTTGAACTTTATATTTTATTAATAGAATATTCAAAATTAAAAGCAAGTTCATCATTATCAACAGTCTAAATAATCTAATCAAAATATCCAAAAATGTATTCTCCCTTATTAAGATTTCTGGATTAGGATACTTTATTTTGTTATCTATGATTCTATTAAGATTATCTAATAGATATGTCAAGGATTCGATCTTGAAGTTTTCATCATTAACATGCAGAAGTTTCTATCTACTGTATATTTTCTATAGTTTCTAGAAATGATAATATTATATCTGTTTGCTCATACAAATTTAATATACATTTTGCATAAGTAGCAACATCTTTTAGAAACTGCTATATACTTTTTATGTTTATAATTTGAATCAATAATCATGGACAATATTCTCATCTCTGCATGTAAATATATTTGTTTTTTAATATCTTTATTACCGTCATATTGTTATAGTTTATATATATCTTTATTAGTGTATACTTTTTTCATTCTATCTATTACATAATACTTTTCTAAACATGTTTTCATGAAACGATTATAGTCATCATCATTGCTAGCGAATCTTTTGATAATATTTTTAATGAATATATGAGTTGATTAATAACATCAGATTTCCTTTTATACATTATAATATTAGCGAATAATCCTTTATATGAAATATTATATGCATATTCTATAATATCTACCAGAGACCTAGTATAAGACATCACTTTTTTAATATGTCCTAAAAATTTTGGATGAATAATAGTGTCATTCTTGATTTCCTAATAATAATTATTACAAACTTAAAATATTTTGAGCATATTTATTTTTTTGTTAACCTTAGTTGAATAGTACTTTTGAAAAGTTTCAATATGTTTGTCACTACTATTATTTTTAATATTTTTCTTAAACTTTTCCAGTCTCTTCCTAAGTTTACCAGAACAGTAAATCATCACATTATTGGTAAAAGCATATTCAGTATCTTCTAATATTGTAGGAGCGTTATTCAACATAACTTTCAGATACTTTGTAATTCTATCAATATACTCTTCATCACTTTTAGACTAAGAAAAGTTCTTAGCAAGGTAAATGTAAGGCTTCTTGGATAAAAATACTTACACTGCAACTACTTTTTTATCTCTTGCAAGTATTATTGCTAAGTTGTAAGCAAATCTCTCATGAGCCATCAAGTTAACATTTTTATTATTTGCTTGACTAACAGAATAGTTGATACACTCAGTAACGTACTCTTTACTATACAACTCTTTCTCAAATTCTTTGAAATTATTTTTTATTTCTCCAAGTTTAGCTTTTGTATTAGTAAACACAGCTATCAGTGATAAATACAGAAGGATATATTCTACACATATATACCAATTTGACTCACTCTAATTATATCACCTGCAAAAATTATATGTTACATTTATTACCAATCAATTTTCTGTTTAACGGTAGGCTGATATACTGCTGTTATTTTATAAAAAGTTTTATTAGATTATCTTTATCGAATCGTATATTAATCATATTTATTACTTACTTTTATTATGAGTTCAACCTGAAAATTTGATAAAGATTCCAAATATAGTGAATAAATCTGACAGAATATTCTTCTTATAAGCTATTAAAGAACAAATCAACTTTGAACAGAAACTATACTGAAAGTCCTATAAAAAGTTCATTTTACAAAATTATCATAATTTTTAATTTTAATTTTTTTTTTGCAACCAAAAAATTATATCGGCTTATTTAAATATTTATTCTGAAGTTTTAAAAATACAATTGTTTATAATCATAAGTAGATCACAAGTAATTACATAAATGAAAGCTAGCTAAAATATTCTCCTATTTTAGAACATTTATTAGTATATCAGGAATTATTTACACAGAATTTTCAGATTTTTTTTTTATTATAAAAGACTTTATTAGAAATGAATAAGGCATTGCTGTCTTTTTTTTGTGAGAAATATTATACATTTTGGTGAAAACCCATCTTTACCAATAATAAATACCTATTTTACAACATATTTTACTGTTAATAAATATCCTACCAAAATTCAATAGTATAGAATTAATATACTGTATTTATTTATTTTTAATGATAAATAGAATTTGCTAATTTTCTGATTTTCCATTCTTTATAGATTAACTCTCAAATAACTAGCTAACTTGATTTGTATTTTGTTATCTCTGAAGACAATAAATAATTAAATGATAATAATATCCTTTTTTTTATTGCTAAATTAATTTATATGAGAAAATAATTATGCATCAAATAATAAAATTTAACGATTAATCAAGTGATGAATGAATGTGAAACAATTATAATTTCTGAAATAACCTGTTTTGAAACAAAAAAGTAATCTGTGCCTAAAAAAAAATAATTCAATAATCTGATTTTTGTTAAGCGTTATTGCTGTGAACTTTTCTAAATATCATGATCATTTATTATTAATTAAAGTAATTATATATCTAAATATAAATATTATCAAACCAATTTTTTTTATCTCTGACTGATAATAAATCACAAAAGTTATTTAACTGAAATTACAATATCAAAAATAATGTGATCAAAATATTTATATTATCCATATATTTATATAATAAATCAAAATGAATTAAATGAAATATCATGATATTTACTGTATTTGCAATTTAAAAGTAATTTATATAATATAATATATTAATTAATTTTTTTATATTAAAGTATTTATTTATTAATAAGAACTTGAAGATTATAAGAAGTTTTAAGAGTATACTGGAAGTATGAATAAGAAAAAATAAAGAAATTATTAATAAAATTAAAGAAGATATTTTGTTATTTAATTAAAATAAAAAAAAACTTCTTTTATGTACTTAAATTTATATATGTAAAATTTTGAATTTCTAATATATTATTAGAATTTATTATTAAATTATTCATTAAAATTTTTTGTAAATTTACTAATATAATATAATAAACTATGTAAAATTTTATAACTAAAATAATTTGTAATATTAAATAAAAATGTTTATTTAAAAATTTACTATTAAATTTATTTTAATTAATTGTAAGATATAGTTTTTTTAAAAAAAACAACCATAATTTTGATAAAGTGAAACAATAAAAAACAATAACAAAATTAAGTAAAAATTAAAGATAAATAAGATTTCAATTAATAATTTTCTGATTATAATAATTTTTTAATCAATAATTATTATATTTTAAATCTTTTAAATTAGATAATTTGACTTAAATTTCTTTATTATTTTTTTAATAGTAACTTTTTTTTTTAGATAAAACCTTGATTTAGTTACTTTTTTTTTTTAATAATAATGTTTAAATTACAAATTATTTTAATAATAATTTTTATTAAAAATTAGTTTTTTTTTTATTATTTTTTAATAAATTAAATTCTAAATAATAATTTAAGAGTTATTTAAATAAAATACACTATAAGTACTACTTTAAATAAGAGCTATAAATAAATAAATTATTAAAATAATAGTTAAAATTATAAAATATTTAAATTTTTTATAATATTTACAAAAGATTACTAAAAGTTTCTGTATATGATTTTTGCTATCATGATTCTCAGAATTCACTAATTGAAATTAAATCAAATTTTTATACATCTTAAATATCTTAAAGAATTACATTAAAATTTTTTTAATTTGAATCATCAGATATTAAGATCATAATGTAAATGTAAATACATAAATAATCTTGATAAAAAATTTTGTTAAAATTGTAAATAATGTTAAATTTATTTTTTCAATATCTAGTAATTCAAATTATACAATATTTTAATCTATAATAAATAAATATTATATTTATAATATATCAAAATTTGAGTCAATTTAAATTATTAATTGTTGAAATAATTAATATAAAAGATAATAATTAAATTTAATAAATTGTATGTAATTAAATATCTATAAAATTCTTAATAAGTAGTAATTTAAATTAGCTCAAATTTATATTATTTTTATAATATTTATTTATCCCTTAAACTGTAAAGCAAGCAAATTTGCCTATGAATATAAAAAAAAGTATTAATTTTTTAATAAAAATAAAATATTAATATTAATAATATAATTATTATATAAAAAATATAGTTTAATATATATTTTATTAACTTTACACTAGTCAAAATAGTCCAAATCAGCTAAAAATCAGATGGCTGATTTTAGGCTGATTTTAATACTATTTATGGCTAATTTGCCATATTTTCTGATTAGTATAAACAGATGCTGATTGATGCTGATTAACCCAATCAGACATGGCTATTCAAAACTTAAATTTAACCATAAATCAGCCTAAAATTGATCTCAATTCAATAACAATTCAGACGCTGATAGATGCTAATTGATTCTAATCAGACATAGTTATTCAGCATTAATTTAGAACTTAAATAACTATAAATTGGTCTAAAATTGGCTTAATTACTTTTTTATTGTAATTTAAATTTAATTTTTTATTTAAAACTATTAAATAATTTAAGATGTAAGTTTTTAATTATATTTTTTATTATAATTTAAATTTAATTAAAATTTTTATTTAAAAAAAATATTTAATAATTTTTTAGTTTATAAGTTTTTAATTATACTTTTACTTTAATTTAAATTTAAATTCATTTAAAAAAATATTTAATAATTTAGATTGTAAGTTTTAATTATAATTTTTATTATAATTTAAAATTTAACTAAATATTTTATTTAAAAAATATTAATAATTAATAATGTATTAAATAATAAGTTATTTCTTATTAATTATTAGTATTTCATTATATTTTTTATATGATTTAAACTTAATTAAATTTTTTATTTAAAAAATCTTTAATATAATAGATTGTAAGTTATACTGTATTTAATAATTTTTAGGTATTTATTATAATTTAATTTCAACTAAATTTTTTATTTAAAAAAAAATAATAAAGAAAGTATGTTATTTTTATAAATTATTAGTATTTAATTATATTTTATATTATAATTTAAATTTAACTATATTATTTATTTAAAAATATAATATATAAGAAGGTAAGTTATTTTTATTGATTATTAGTATTTAATTATAATTTTTAATATGATTTTAAATTTAAGTAAATTTTTTATTTAAAAAATATTTAATAATTAAGACTGTAAATTATTTTATTGATTATTAGTAGTTTTTATTATAATTTACATTTAATTAAAATTTTTATTTAAAAAAATATTTAATAATTTAGATTGTAAGATTTTAATTATACTTTTTATTATAATTTAAACTTAATTAAATCTTTATTAAAAAAATTATTTAATAATTATTAATATAATAGATAGTAAGTTATTACCAATATTTTTACTGTAATTTATATTAAACTAAATTTTTATTTAAAAAATAAAATATTACTAAAGAATGTAAGTTATTTTTAATTATTTATTAGTATTTAATTATATTTTATTATAATTTATATTTAACTAAATTTTTATTTAAAAAATTATTAATAATTAATAAAACAATAGATGGTATATTATTTTTAATATTTAATTATACTTTTTACTATAATTTAAACCTAACATAAATTTTTTATTTAAAATAAAATATTAATAAAGGAGGTAAGTTATTTTTATTAATTATTAATATTTAATTATACTTTTATTATAATTTAAATTTAACTATATTCTATTAAAATTATTTAATAATTAATTTAATAAATGGTAAGTTATTTTTATTAATTATTAGTATATAATTATATTTTTAAATTCAATTAAATTTTTTATTTAAAAAAATATTTTATATTTAATAATATAATAGATGGTAAATTATTTTGATTGATTTATCAGTAATTTTATTATAATTTAAATTCAATTGAATTTTATAATTAAAAAATAAAATATTATTGAAACGTAAGTTTTTTAGTGATTATTAATATTTAATTATACTTTTTAATTTAACTAAATTTTTTATTTACAAAAATATTTAATAATTTAGATTGTAAGTTATTTTATTGATCATTAGTATTTAATTATATTTTTTATAATTTAAATTCAATTAAATTTTTTATATAACAAAATATTTTATATTTAATAATATAATAGATAGTAAATTATTTTTGTTGATTATTAATATACAATTATGCATTTTGCTAAAATTTAAATTCAACTGAATTTTTATTTAAAAAATAAAATATTATTAAAGAATGTAAGTTATTTTATTAATTATTAGTTT